TACGACGAGGCTAGCATTGCAACGGCGCTCCAGTGCTATACACGTGAACGCAGTTAAATTGTATTGATAGGCGCAAATCGCCAGCGTTTTGAGAGAGTATAGAAGAACAGGAGGGTAGCAGGCGGTGTAATTGAGCAACGCGTACCCTCCTCTCCTCCTAGACTTCTAAACACTAGCGACCGACGCCGACCGATACACGTCCATGGCTCCGCTCCCGTGCGTCATCGCAAGGTCTGAACGCTGCCTAACGCGTGCGCGGAATCAAGGATTGACCGACCAGGCCTTCCATCCTTCTTGAGGCGGTGAACTGAGGGCAAACCCGTCTTCGAGGATACAAACACCTGCTTTTTCAACGGCTGGCCTCGGCAGATTAGTGTATGGGTCAGATGTCACTACGATTCCAAATGGAAGTATAAAGCGTGTCGCATCCCATATAGGAACTCATGAGTGACAATGATCCTCTTGACACTAACAAATTCGATCAACGCAAACATTGGGTTTTTTAGAATCAAGGCCAGCAATTCCGTTCAAATTGATTCGCTTGCAGAAGATTCCTTCGTTGACAAAAATGACACTAGGCGTCATTTGTTGGAGGTGAGAACCTCTATAATCTATATAGTAAGGGCATCGATGGGAATTACCCATTGATGTTCTAGCCAAGACAGTAGCGGGTAGAACATCGATGGCGCAGCAGTTTCACGTACCTGACGGTTAGGATACCCAGTACTCCACTCTCGTTGAATACGAACGAACTAACCTTGCCGAATCTCCTCAGGAGATTTCATTACTCCGTTCTCATTCACAAGTTCAGCTGCTGGGACGTTCTTATAGCCGGGAATGTTGCTGCCACTTACTCCTTAACAAAAACGTCAAAGTACATTAATTTATGTCACTGGTGCGAAACATATTACGCAGACTTTAGGAATGCAATTCAGCGCTTCTATTAGCAAGAAAACCACTGAAGCGCCTTACTACACTCTGCATCTCTGGGATGCGGTAGGCGTGGCTGTGTATGTTATTTGAACATGACAAGTATAGGTTATTCTTAGGATAATTTATGACAACTATCATCTTGTCTTGTGTTGAACGAAATAACGAAAGTGAAAGTTTGAAAGTATAAAATAAAGTATACAGTTTTTGTGAAACGGTAGCAATATCGCATCACAAAGGCAGACGTCGCCAGGTTCAAGTAAAGTACGTAGTCACGCTCACCACATCTCAGGGATTTGGAGCATATGTGCAAAGTATAACCCTCGGCTACGAGGACCTATACACTACCTCATCTAAAGGACAGCAGCAGACTGTCTTTGCAGGTAATACCTATCGCCGGACTCAACTAAAAGAGACGTTGATAGACTGGAATGCATAAGCAGGAAACAAGAAAAGTATGAAAAAAAAACTGCGGAGAGGTACCAAGCAAGAAGAGGGCTGCACAGAAGGAAAATCCTACGAAAAAAAACAGTGGCTTCACAGAAAAATGAAAAATTGTTATGATTATAACTACAACATATGGGCACCATCTAATACACTACGAACCTAGACGTTGAGAAACTGACTGCATGGAACATTGAGGACTGTAGCATACAGGAAATTTTCGACTTTTGCATGGACTAGCCAATTAGGATGACTTCGAGTGAAGCCTGATAAGCAACAAGGGGTGTCATCATGACACAAGGGGTACATGGATCGAAACTTACCCGAAATTGTCCCAGGTCATGTCTGGAAGGGTAAAAATGTTAATCAAAATACCATGCTTACTACAGATTGTTCGCGGAGAAAAGACACATTCGAGTGTGCTCTCATAAATGCAAAATAGAGTATATAGTCCGGTTCGTCTGGCGGACAAAGCGGCGTCACGCGGGATGAGTGCGGCGGTGCCAAACCCGGTTCCCCACCAGTGAGCAAGTGACAAGTCTGTATCATGTCCTACATATCACCCATTTTCTACCAACTGCTGTCGCATACTCGCTTCAACAAATTGGCAGAGAACATGTTTGGCGCGTGCACAGACACTGCCTGACACGCTTCATCCCAGCGAACCAGAAAGTCTGTGTGCTAAGATCAAAATGAGGGCATTAGCCCGAAAGAGCCTTTATTGCATTTACCAACTTCATTTTTCGATGACACTCAGCTCTTGCTCCGGCATTCTAAAGCCTGTCAGTGGCTGAAAAAGTTAAGGAAACCAATCAAGGTATTCAACCCAACGATTAAGTGACCTGCTCTTTAAGAACTTCTTGCTGTTGATTAACGCAAATCCAACTGAAATCCTTCGAGAAATATTAAAAAACCAACGATAAAGATCCAGCCCTGTTTCCTCAGTGCCATTGAACTGACCACGTATGCGAGCATCCAGAAAGTTCACCTACAATAATCAGTAGGATAGAAAGCACATCAATTCGAAGCAGAATTGACGTAGAGTTCACATCTGAAAATGGATTTACAGCCTTGTTCACTACTGATGCTGGGGCGCGTCAGAAGGCTTTGGCGCATCGCCAACCCATTCTCCACCAACTGCTTGCCCCTTCAACAACCAGTGGAGAACTGACCTGGTCACCAGTTCCCCGCTAACGCAACGTCACCGGGCAGCCTCCCTTGGCCCCAGATATGGGCTGTCACTGCCCCCTGTGTCATAAGCAACGTGTCTGTGTCATCGGTGAGAAAATATCATATTCAGATCAGGCACTGTTTTCTTATTCTTCCACGGTCCGTACCTATGCGGAACGAGTAGTGCTGCACTGTCCCCTGTGAGTCATATAAGGGAAAGGTCAGTCTTTCCTGCGCATCTAATCTCCGCCTTTCTAATCTTTTTTGCCTCATGCTTGAAGCATTTCTAAAAAAAGCAACCTGATCCAAGACATGTGCAACATTCATCAGAAAGATTACTAGCAACAGGGAGAACGTGAGGTGCCAGCGAAGACTCGAACCTCGACGTCACGCTTATCGGGCCAGGTACTAACCGCTAGACTACAGGGGCTCTCCCAAGTTAAAAGTTTAAAGACCAATTCACGCCCAACTCATTTGGCATCCTGTCCTTGCCATATGTAAGATGAAGGGGTCCGTATGCAGTAGCGTGCCATTTCTCAGCTTGGGGAAAAAATGCACGGGAGAAAAGAGGGGAGTGCAGGAGAGTAATGATTACCGCGGATGTGCCGTCTCCACACTCCGCCCGCGCTCCCGCACTGATAGCACGTCTAATCACAGCCGAACGCGTTACCCGTCTATACACCTAAGCATCACAACCGTCAAGGTCCGTTCCGTGTATTGGATAAACAGCAATATCTTACTTCGTCTGTCCGTTCCATATATTCTTTTCCATCCTCCTTTTTCTGCAATTCCTCGAAGGTAATATTGTTTGCGGCAACATGATCCTTCGCCTTCCAATTTCCTGTCTAAAAAGTATCATTAAATCGAAACTACCCAACAGCCAACCATATAACGACTGTTTAAGAGTTACTGGAAGTTGCACGTCTTCGGTACTGATTTCAAGTCCTTTCTTCACCCACTGATGCAAGCCACCGTCAAGGACTGATGATTTCTCGTGACCATAAGACTGAAACCAGTTATCTTGTCTTTAATGGTCGGAACACGAAAAAAAGGAGTGGCGTGCGTTTGATAAGTCTTACTGTGCAACACGAAATTGGTGGTGAAAGTTTATTATGCCAGACGATTTCGACTGGAATCGTCTCCATTTAGGCCTCCTACCAACCTCGTTTGCAGACAATTTTGATAACTTTAATCAAATATCCCAATGCCGAGGTTTTACGAAGAGAGAAGTCGGGACACCACTAGAAGTGCTTGCCTTTAACAACCAAGCAAACTTTGTACTGTACTCCATTCCTCCTCGATCGTCTCGAGAGTATAGGATTATATGCTCTCCATCATTCACGCCAATCATCTGAAGGAAGAAAAAGATTGGAACTCGAGACAAAAATTCATAATTCGCTTCCAGAGCAGCCCAGAGATGGGAAAAAGTAGGAATAAAGTTGGCAAGGGGTTGCCAGACTAACTGGGGAGACACACCCGGAATGGACGGGGCGTACTCCAGATGGGCGGTGCTCCCCACAAAATTCAGTAACAAGGTTCCCGAGAGAGTTTAGAAATAGCAAAATAGTCGATGTAGGAGGGCAATATCCGGGGAGAGTTTTGCATGCCTGAGGTATGTTGAGGCCCGCCCACTGTGATCGGAGGAAACATAATGTGCTCATCAAAAATTTGTAGCTCGGTTCCAGAGCACTCCAGAGACCGGAAAAAAGCAGATTAGGGTCAGCGAAGAGTCGCCGGTTGAGAAATGTGGGCGTGCTTGTCGTGGGCGGGGTATGTTCTAATGTGTTCTGATGTAGTCGGCACGCGCGATCTTTCTTTTGTTTTGTCAGAGTACTTGATTAATGCCTGACTTTCCTCTCAACTGTGCACCTGCTCGACGCTCCTTACCACTACTACATAAATTTACTTAGACCATGCGTACAGATGAGAGAGGAACTAAAATTGAGCCGAGCATTGCAGCACAACAAAAAAGGTACGCGCAGCAAAGCCGCGCCCGCCCGTCGAAGCCGGGCCATAACCTATCACAGAAGGAAGCGCGCCGGCGAGCCGACTGGTATTCTGAAACTGCGGAATACGAGACGAACAGACTTGGCCATGACCTTCTGAAGCGTAATGAACCCTGAGAAACAAGTGGCATTTGTTGGATAGACCTAGTGATGCATTTTTCTTATGAGCAATACAACTACTCATCCGCCGATGAGAGCTTAATAGAGCTGGAGTAATTTAATAAGAATGTTGCAATTTGGAAATAGCAGTTGCTGGAGTGTACAGATGGGATATTCTGAAAGTGGTACATATCGTAAACTTCTCAGTTCAGGTCGAAGGCGCTTTATCTCTCCGCACACATCCCCCAAGCAGTTCATGCGTCACCGAGCACGGCCATGTATCCATCGCAGTACGAGCGATTTGCCCTCTATCCACCGGAAATTTTTGAGAAGTTTATGCAGGCGAGTTTTGATGTGACCAGCAATCAATATCTTGATTTCGCACCTCTTCGAGAAACTTGAGTTCCAATCTTTTTCTTCCTTCAGATGATTGGCGTGAATGATGGAGAGCATATAATCCTATACTCTCGAGACGATCGAGGAGGAATGGAGTACAGTACAAAGTTTGCTTGGTTGTTAAAGGCAAGCACTTCTAGTGGTGTCCGAACTTCTCTCTTCGTAAAACCTCGGCATTGGATGTTTTGTAAAGTGTCAGAGTTGTTCTTGCAAACGAGGTTGGTAGGAGGCCTTAATGGAGACGAATCAGTCGAAATCGTCTGGCATAATAAACCTTTTCACCGACAATGTCGTGTATGCACAGGAAGACTTATCAAAACGCACGGCACTCCTTTTTTCCGTGTTCCGACCATTAAAGACAAGATAACTGGTTTCAGTCTTATGGTCACGAGAAATCATCAGTCCTTGACGGTGGCTTGCATCAGTGGGTGAAGAAAGGACTTGAAATCAGTACCGAAGACGTGCAACTTCCAGTAACTCTTAAACAGTCGTTATATGGTTGGCTGCTTGGGTAGTTTCGATTTAATGATACTTTTTAGACAGGAAATTGGAAGGCGAAGGATCATGTTGCCGCAAACAATATTACCTTCGAGGAATTGCAGAAAAAGGAGGATGGAAAAGAATATATGGAACGGACAGACGAAGTAAGATATTGCTGTTTATCCAATACACGGAACGGACCTTGACGGTTGTGATGCTTAGGTGTATAGACGGGTAACGCGTTCGGCTGTGATTAGACGTGCTATCAGTGGCGGGAGCGCGGGGTAGAGTGTGGAGACGGCATCCGGGTATCAGTATCTCCTGCACTCCCCTCTTTTCTCCCGTGCATTTTTTCCCCAAGCTGAGAAATTGGCACGCTACTGCATGCGGACCCCTTCATCTTACATATGGCAAGGTCCAGGATTCCAAATTGAGTTGGGCGTGAAATTCGTCTTTAAACTTTGACTTGGGAGAGCCCCTGTAGTCTAGCGGTTTAGTACCTGGCCCGATAAGCGTGACGTCGAGGTTCGAGTCTTCGCTGGCACCTCACGTTCTCCCTGTTGCTAGTAATCTTTCTGATAAATGTTGCAGATGTCTTGGATCAGGTTGCTTTTTTTTTAGAAATGCTTCAAAGCAGTGAGGCGAACAAGATAGAAATCTAGGAGATTATGATGCGGCAGGAGAGACCTGACACTTTCCCTTAATATGACTCACAGGAGAACAGTGAGCACTACTCGTTCCGCTAAGGTACGACCATGGAGAATAAGAAACAGCTGGCCTGATCTGTAGTATGTATTCTCACGATACACACGACACGTGCTTATGAACATCAGGGGCAGTACAGCCCATACCTGGGGCCAAGGGAGGCTCCCGGTGACGTTGTCGTTAGCGCGGGAATGGTGACCAGGTCAGTTCTCCACTGGTTGTTGAAGGGGCAAGCGTTGGGTGGAGAATGTTGGCGATGCGCCAAAGCCTTCTGACGCGGCCCAGCATCAGTAGTGAACAAGGCTGTAAATCCATTTTCAGATGTGAACTCTACGTCAATTCTGCTTCGAATTGATGTGCTTTCTATCCTACTGATTATTGTAGGTGAACTTTCTGGATGCTCGCATACGTGGTCAGTTCAGATGAGCACGGAGGAAACAGGGCCTGAGATCTTATCGTATAGTTTTTTAATAGTATTCTCGAGGATTTACAGTTGGATTTTACTTATCAACCAGCAAGAATCTTAAAGAGGCCACTTAATCGTTGGTTGAACCTTGATTGGTTTCCTTAACTTTGTCAGCCACTGAAGGCTTTAGAATGCCGGAGCAAGGAACTGAGTTGCATCGAAAATGTAAGTTGGTAAATGAAATAAAGCTCTTTCGGGCTATGCCCCTCATTTTGCATCTTAGACACAGACTCTGGTTCGCTGCGGAAGAAGGGGCGTGTCAGGCAGTGTTTGTGTCACGCGCCAAACCTCTTCTTTGCCCAGCTTGTTGAGCGAGTATCGACAGCCAGTTGCGTAAAAATGGTGATATGTACGCACATGATACAAGACTTGTCACTTGCTCGCATGGTTGAGAAACCGGGTTTAGGCATCGCGCACGTCATCCCGCGTTACGCGCGCTTTGTCCGCCAGACGAACCGGACTATAACTCTATTTTGCATTTATGAGAGCAACACTCGAATGTGTCTTTTCGTCGCGAACAAATCTGTAAGTAACGCGTGGTATTTTGATTAACATTTTTACCCTTCCAGACATGACCTGGGACAATTTCGGGTAAGTTTCGATCCATGTACCCCTTGTGTCATGATGACACCCCTTGTTGCTTATCAGGCTTCACTCCGAAGTCATCCTAATTGGCTAGTCCATGCAAAAGTAAGGTAATGTATTATGCTACAGTCCTCACTGTTCCATGCAGTCAGTTCTCAACGTCTAGGTTCGTAAGTGTATTTAGATGGCTGCTCCATATGTTTGTAGTTCATAATCATAACAATTTTTCATTTTTCTGTGAAAGTCACTGTTTTTTTTTCGTACGGATTTTTCTTCTTGCACCTCTCCTCCTTTGCTTGGTACCTCTCCGCAGTTTTTTTTTCATAACTTTTCTTGTTTCCTGCTTATGCATTCCAGTCTATCAACGTCTCTTTTAGTTGAGTCCGGCGATAGGTATTACCTGCAAAGACAGTCTGCTGCTGTCCTTTAGATGAGGTAGTGTATAGGTCCTCGTAGCCGAGGGTTATACTTTGCACATATGCTCCAAATCCCTGAGATGTGGTGAGCGTGACTACGTACTTTACTTGAACCTGGCGACGTCTGCCTTTGTGATGCGATATTGCTACCGTTTCACAAAAACTGTATACTTTATTTTATACTTTCAAACTTTCACTTTCGTTATTTCGTTCAACACAAGACAAGATGATAGTTGTCATAAATTATCCTAAGAATAACCTATACTTGTCATGTTCAAATAACATACACAGCCACGCCTACCGCATCTCAGAGATGCAGAGTGTAGTAAGGCGCTTCAGTGGGTTTTCTTGCTTTAGAACGCTGAATATTGCTGTTCCTAAAGTCTCGTATATGTTTCGCACCAGTATATCAAAATTTAATGGTACTTTTGAACGTTTTTGTTAAGGAGTAAGTGGCAGCAACATTCCCGGCTATAAGAACGTCCCAGCAGCTGAACTTGTGAATGAGAACGGAGTAATGAAATCTCCTGAGGAGATTCGGCAAGGTTAGTTCGTTCGTATTCAACGAGAGTGGAGTACTGGGTATCCTGACCGTCAGGGTACGTGAAAACTGCTGCGCCAGCGATGTTCTACCCGCTACTGTCTTGGCTAGAACATCAATTGGTAATTCCCGTCGATGCCCTCACTATAACTATAGAGGTTCTCACCTCCACAGGGCACATCATTGGTTGGGGATTTTAGTTGAGTGGTACGATCTCCCCCCACCTCCGGCCCTCTGTCCCTCCTCATCGATTCAAGCCGTCGAGCGGAAGGGGAAGGAGGGAGGGGAGGGCATATAGTACGCATGAAACAGGAAAATCACCAAAAGTCAACCACCTCTCCTACAAGGCTGAAAACGTAAATACGACACCCCCCCTCCCAACAAAATGACTAAGTACGACCCTCCTTTCCTTTTACAACGTCCGTGAAGCGAGAAAAATCAACTATCAAAATAAATTTTTCCCAGCCCAAATACGACCCCCCTCTCCTGGCGGCCAAATACGACCCCCCCTATTGGGGATTCCCCAACAACGATGTGCCCTGCACCTCCAACAAATGACGCCTAGTGTCATTTTTTTCAACGAAGGAATCTGCTGCAAGCGAATCAATTCGAACGGAATTGCTGGCCTTGATTCTAAAAAAGCCCAGTGTTTGCGTTGATCAAATTTGTTAGTGTCAAGAGGGTGTAGAGGGTCATTGTCAGCGATCAGTTCCTATATGGGATGCGACACGCTTTATACTTCCATTTGGAATCGTAGTGCCATCTTTGCGCGAAGTGACCCATACACTAATCTGCCGAGGCCAGCTGTTGAAAAAGTCAGTGTGTGTGTGCTCGAGGACGGGTTTGCCCTTAATTTACCGCCTTAAGATGGATGGAATGCCTGATCAGTCAATCCTTGATTCCGCACACGCGTTACGCAGCGTTCAGACCTTGCGATGACGCACGGGAGCGGAGCCACAGACGGAACGGAGCCATTGCAATGCTAGCCTCGTCGTAGCTTGTCAACGCACGTCACGCCGAAGTCTGAACATTGCTCAAACCCCACTTGACCTCTCCCACCTACTACAATTTATCTTGGTAGGCATTCAAAGGAGTCACATGTTCCACTATAAGGAAATTTCAACGAAGTTCAACTAAACTGTTTCATATAGCCACTTTCAGTACTTTTACAAAACGGTTATAAGGCTGGCCAACCAATTGTGACAAATTGCAACACTGGAATGCAAGCAGCGATGCTGGCGTTCGGTATTAAAATGGCGTATCCTGATGAATCACCGCGAGTCTACAACGTGAGTCCGATTGCATGTGTTGACAGCCCTGGTTTTCGGTATCTCGGTGGCCAAGCGAAAAGCTCTTGCAGCGACGAAACCCAATATTTTCAAGCGTAAATTCATATTAACTTAACGGCATCTATTCTTTGAAGCAAAGACCAGGCGCTAATGATCAGGCTCTTGAAGTGCTCAAGGTGCAAAACAGGAATATCAGTAGTCATATAAGAACTTTGCTTAGGAACAAAGTGGAACAATTTAATGGTAAAAGGACATTTTAAAGTGCGGTTGTCCTATTCGGATGGTCCCAGCTTGCACAAGTAGCCCTCTTAATGCTACGTTCCCTCCCCCGCAGCGTTGTAAGCACCGACCAATAGTTTCTGCCGATGATCCGCGAGCTTTCGAATTTTTTTAGGGATATCACCTGACCGGTGTTGAACCAAGGAGACCTTGAGCGTTCTCTACTGGCTCAAACTGCTTAAGAATCGATAAATTCGCAAAAAGGTATCATAGTGCCAAAGTTTGCTCCAAAGGATGTAGCTGGACGACATAGAATCAAGTGAGGAGTAGAGGGTGGGTATAGAAGGAGGTCAACGCCGTCGAGTCATGCTTCTAGGCCTTTCTAGCTCTTTGAGGTCTATCGTTACCCTGTAGGAAAAGAAGGCGCTGTAGCCAGATCAAAGTGAGGTATAGGAGATATACGAAAGCCGTTCAAAGTGTTCTCGGTATCGGGGTAATTTAGCAGTGACAAAGGAATTCAAATCATTTCAATAGGTAACGACACTCCCTGAGGGTATAAATACAAAATTTCATTTAGTTATCATCAGTGCTATTCTAGTTATCCTTGGTGAAAGAAGACCAGAATGACTAATGCGACAATGTTAAGAAATGATGATTAAACAAAGTGGGAAAAATGAAACGAAAATTGAGTAAATGATTGTGATTACATCTTGTT